AGATTACCGATATCGTAAGTTCATGTATGGGTATAACCATACATGTTTACAATATAAATGCGAGTATAATAGAATATATGAATAGTACATATGTATTTGAATAGAGTATTGGCGCGAAAAGTATATAGAGAAGAGTCACGTGTCAATTAGGTATTAATATTGGGTCTTAACTGTAATTAAGGTTTACAGTAACTAGTGTTTAATTACACTAATTAGTTTTTCCTGACAATACAGAGTTTGGTGTAAAACCTTTTTTTGTACAATATTTAATTTAATTAATTACACCATAAGAATAATTATATTTATTGAATATGAATTTATAACTAATAAATAACTAATATTTATATGAGGTTTAAGCTTATTATAACCAATATTAAACATTAAATTTTAATATCAAATTGTTTATTTATATAATTTATTTATAAAACATATATATGAAATTAAAGATAGAATTATTCAATTATTATATAATATATAATATCCAGTAAAATTAAATAATTCTATTTATATTTAAATATTTATTATTATTGAGTATTTATATTTGGAAGTCAATAATAAGATGATTAAATTAAATGCATTATTAATGTTATTTTCTTATTAATGTTAAATCTTATTTTCTAAAAATATATTAAAATAAATTTTTGTATTTTAATGTCATTACTAAATATTTAACTTTATTATATTCTTGTAATCACAGTCATTATACTTTATTAAATTATATGTATTAAAATTATGATACAGTATATCAAAGATATTTTATTGTACCTTACCTGTCGATCGACTTATGGTTTCTATGGCTGGAATGGTTTTTAATATCAAAATTGTTGTATTCAATACAAAACTACTTGTTAGGTTGTAATTATTAATTATTTACGATTTATTGATCATATTTATAAATTAAGTCAGTTGTCCGGTAATTGAAATCATAATTTTGATTAAAATAAATATTTTATATATTATCACAAATATATTTATTAAGTTTCAATCATTTATTTATTAGTATTCAATGAAAACAAATTAATAAACATTTCAATATTTCAAATATAATACTGTACTGTAGTATAAATACATGTATGTTTCGGTTTTTATAATATATTTATAAACGAAATATAAAGTTAATATATTGTACTTTAGTTTGAGAATCCACTAATTCAAACAATTTATTTCATTAATTATATAGTAATTTACAAAATTCAATTGTAATTATATTATAATTAACATTAATATTAATATTAAATAACAAAATAAAAGTTTATTCATGAAAAATATAAAATAAATTTCTTATTGTTTTTGTAATTTGTAATTACAATTTAAATCCATATATAAATATGAGTCTAATATAAACTTTAAGTTTAATGTAAAGTATGTAATGTAAGATTTCATATGAATACTGAAAAACATTATAATATAATTTGAATAAGCGTTTGATTTGAATGAATTCACACCAACGAGAATCCAACGGACGGACAACAGAGTTGTATATTTACTGTACATTACGTTTAATAATCCGATTAATAAAAAATATTTGACACGTTTTATAGCGTTATGTTTTACAAATAAAAATCCATACAAACTCGTCTTTTATTATTTATAATATCATTTAATTAATATATTATATAAAACTAGTCTTAAAGTTATTATTATTCTTCGGAGGGCTGTTATTAATATTATGGTTATTATGATTGCGAGCCTTAAAACTCCTGTTCAATGAGACGGTGTGGGGATTACTTGACTTTTTCCGGTAGACCAGAGTTGACAGCGTATATAACGTGGGATTAATGGCAGCGTTGAGGGGCAATACAAACACAGCCACCCACGCGAAGGCCTGGCCACAAATAAATGCATTCAAATTACAATCATGGTAGAAATAAAATAGCAGGGAATGAATGTAAAAATATGTAAATCTGTTGACCTGTGGTGGTATTTTGACGCCATAGAAAGAGATGATGCCTAATAGGATGATAGGCATCCAACACCAGAAGTCGGTCATCACGATAAACATCATACGTCTGGCCATTCGGTTATGGATTTTGTGTTCAGGAGTTCTGACGGCGATTGACGTGTTTTTGGCCACAAAGAACATCCATAGATAGGCGATGGCTATTGTGGTGAACGACAGAAAGTTGAGCACAAGAAACACAAACACCGAGTATTCCCAGCCGTTGGGCCGCTCTTGAGTGATGTGAAGGGCCAGACATACGCCCGAACGGCCGTAGAAGTTGTCGAAGTAGTCGAACTCAAGTTGCGGTACGATTAGCGGCGCCGCCGACAGCGCTATACACAGTATCCACAGTAAACCCATTATAATACACGCGTTTCTCATTTTGATTTTCCTGAACCGCAACGGAAACACAATTTTGAGGAAACGGTCTAATGTTATGACTGTTAGAGTGAAGACCGAGAACTCCGACGAGAGGGTCGACAGGAAGCCCGCGAAGTGGCAAAGAGTGCTCTGACGCCACATCGCGTCCACAATGAAGTATATGCCTCTGAAATCACAAACACAATCATTAATTGCTATCAATTTGATTCAATCATTCAATTGATTAATTCTATGTTAAGTATTATAATATTAATTAATTTAATTAAATGCTTTGTTTACTGTATTTCTTACGATTTAGTAAATACTGTTTTTGTCCTTTCATTGAAAAAAACGAAAAAACAAATGAGAGAGAGAGAGAGAGAGAGAGAGAGA